ACCTTTGGCTGTGAAAAGGGGAAAAGAGTGCGGGCCTGTGACTGCGTTTCTCAAGACCTGAGCTCAATGTTGCTGCATCTGTTCACGGCATCACAAAACCCCCCCCCCACACACACGACAGTCGACCACTCGGAAGGAGAAGGAGAAGAGGGAAAAAGCACCATGTCCTTTCCGGCAAAGAAGTTCCTTGTGACATGGAGTGGAGAACGTGTGCTCCTCAAAATCTGAGCTCGGTGTTGCTGCACGATGTATCAAAACAAACACACGCCACAACCGACAATCGTAAGAAAAGAGCTGAGCTTCGCGGCACTATTCATCGACAGACACACACGACAGTCGACACTTGATAGAGGAAAAGCACCATGTCTATTGGTCTACTTGATCGTGACAAGGGTGATTGCGGACAAAATCTCAATGTTCCTGAATGCATTCCAACCCGGACTGTTCGACGCCTCTCACCGGCCCTGCACCCGTCTCCTTCCTGGCATCGCCGCCCGTCTCGCCCGCAAACTTCACCCCCTCATCCGCCGCACCCCGCTCTCCATGCAACTTCCTCCCCTCCTCGGCCCACTCCCTCCTCGCCTCGCGCTCAGCCTCCAACCTCCTCCTCTCCTTCTTCCTCATCTTCCTCAGGGCCTCCTCCTCCAACGCTATGCCCAACAACCTCTCCACCTCCTCCTTCTTCTTGGTCCTGTTGCCGCCCCACCAGATCAACAGCCCCGCCACAGCATTGCAGCTCAAGGAAAACGTAATGATCGTGGCCGTCACCGAGGTGGGTCTGTTCTTATAGTAAATACCCCAGGTCGTACCTCCAAGAGAAGCCTGCAAGCACGAGTGGCAATCGAGCAAGATGACGATAGCCATCATGAGCGATAGCTCAAACGGTCGATGCGTCACCGTCTCGCGATAGCGGTAGAACGTGTGCGATTCGTGGAACTTTCGTTGCTGGTATTCCAGGTTGGCTTGCTGTTTGGGACTGAGAACCACAACGTCTTCGGCATCGCGCGGCAGTTCGGATGCGATCGACGGGTTGCGTTTGAGCTGTCCCAAGGGTATAATGCCGTCCTTGTTCGGATAGGTCTTGTGTTGGGTAGGCGCCGGTGAGCCCTCGCTTGATGCGGATCCATCCGATCTCCTTTTCCTCTGCTCTTCGTCAACCGACCCTTTGCTGTGCTTTTTGCGATGGAAGAAGGCGTGCTTGTGTCGGCGCTCCTTTTTGAGTTCCTCCACCTCGCACGCGCTCTGCCTCGACTGCACGGGATCAAGCAGCGCACCCACTGTTCCGGGTCCCTGTCCGGTCTCGTTGCCAGCACTTGCCTCGTCCGTCGTATTAGCATCTGCTGCATCGGTCGCGTTCCTCTGCTCGCCTGCTTCCGTATTCTGACCGGTCAACTCCTTTCGCAGACCTGTCTTGATCATCATCGTGTTTGTCATCTGCCCAAAGTCGAGTCGAGGTGCAGCGCGAGGCAGCTCGTTCTTGTCCTTGAGTTCGGGCAGGTTCAGCTCCTTCCTTCGCTTGTACGTCAACTTGTGATAGTGGACAATCTGCACCATCCTGTAGGTGTCGACAGCGCGGAAGGGGGCGAAGCCCAGACCTACGGCAGTGAAGAGCGCACACAGGATCTGATCGCAGATCTCGATCCAGTACCTCTGCCTCGCTCTATTGCCGACGTCGATCCATCGAAGCAGGAAGAGACAGATGGCTGTGCCCCAGAAAGTGATGAGGAAGGCGTATGTGGTGATGATGAATCCGTGCGGCGTCTTGACGTACCTCCAAAAGCCTCTGGCAGCGCGTTTGAACTTGGCCTTTTTGGTCAGCAACAGACGAACGTGCTCGTCAAGCTCGTTGCGCTCCTCTTCGTCCATCTGCGCCCACTCCTTGATGTGTTTGCTGCGCTCCTCTTCCGTGGTGGGAGGCACCTCCTTCTTCTTGCGACCGGGCACGAGCGAAGCCATACGACGCATGCTGCCGAACCTGGGAGCGTCCTCTTCCTTGTTCTGTTGCGCCGAGCTTGATCTGAGGCCGAGCTCGATATCTTCAGGCCTCGCTTCGTACTGTGGGGTGGCGCGTGGCGATGGAGGAGCCTGCCGAGCTGCTGCAGACGGCAAGCTGATGGTGGGTCTGCGACTGTAGAGCATGGGTATCGGTGGAAAGAAGATCGAGTTACCGACATTCTGTAGCGCGGTGACGGTAGCTACCTCTGGATCCACGACGTCGAGGTAGTCAACCACCTCATCCTCGTGCATGTCGCTGCTGCTGGAAGAGTCTGTCGAGTCGTGCTGAGCATCAGGATGGTCGTCTCTGGTACGTGATGAAGGCGTCAGAGCTCTTCGCTGCTCCTCGTCGCTGTTGGATTGGCCTTGATCGGACTTGCGTCGTATCAAAGAGTCATACAAACGACGAGATGTGGCCATGAGCCCTTCGTCTGCAACCGTGTTCCGTCGGGCTCGCTTCGTGTTTGGATCCGCATCCGTGTCGGCCTGTTGCGTTGGTGGGCTTATGACAAAAGACGGATTGGGTCGGGCTGCGCTTGGTGTCGTGAGTTGGCTCGAACGCTCCTCTTGAACGTCGGACAGATTACGAGTATTGGATGGATGTAGCGAGAGGCCATCGCTGCCACGGCGGGGATCATTTTGGCGGAACGGGGCGACATCGTCTCGCGAATCGGTGGAGGAGGAACGAGATGAACTTGTGGATACGGAGTTACGATGCTCTTGACGCTTTCTGCGACGTTCCTGCTTGCGCTGGCGGTGATGGCGCATCGCAAGGCCTTCGACGGCACCGGGTCTACGGCTGGATGATCTGTTGGGAATCTGCGGGCTTAGCGAGTCGTCACTCAATCGAATGGGCGGAAAGTCATCTGGAGGAGATCGACTGGATCTGTGCTTGTCGCGTCCACAGTGCTCGCGACGCTCTTCATCGTGAATCGCGCGCCTTGCTGCTTGCATTTCGAGGCGCAGTATCCCATCGTCATCTTCACGTCCAGCGTCGCTGCGTGTCGAGGTTCGCCACGATGCTTCGGCGCCGGGCGTGAGGCGATCCCTTCTAGATGAATCAGCCTCGGCGCCAACGGTTGAAGCCGAGCCTCGACGGAAGCTAAGCGGAGAGAAGTAGTCACCGGTCGCGGGCCGCGCCGATGAGCCGTCGTGGACATTGCTGAAGCGGTCGTCAGCGGCGGGCGTTTGGTCTGGGTAGGGTTCCGCTGTCTCTGTTCTGCGAACGCGAATCGAGGACGGAATGCGATGAATGGTCCTCATCGTGCCGACGAATGTGGGTACTGGGGGAGGATCTGAGTCGTCGCTGCCTTCGGCTATAGTGAGTACTGAGAGCACAGGATTGGAGGCTGACGAGCAAGACAAGGGATGCCGACGGTCTGGTGTCAATCAAGCAAGGCGCACGGAGATGGACATCGGTTTGGCAAAGCGAAATGACAACTCTGTCGAAGCCATCAATGAAGCTGGGTCTGACGCCTGGTGGTCGCCTTCAAGTGCGCTGGCGCGATCAAGTGGTCGGATGGACGGCGTCGTTGATCGAGATGAAAGCAGCGCGGCAGCGTGAAGCGCAGTGTCTAGGATGGTGATGGAAGCAAGTCAACCGGGAAGCGACCGGAAAAGCAGGTTGTGCTGGCAAGGCAAAGGCAATAGACTACGCCGCCGGAGACAAAGGATTCAAGAAATTCAGGGATTCTCCACGCTCCAAATGAGCAGTTGGAAATCAAGCAATCGGAGAACCAAGCTTCCATACCTCACAGCCTCCAGGTGGGCTCTTAAACAGCCCATCGGCAGGAGATCCGAGTTCTGCACTCCGTGTCGACTCTTCCATGGATGCACATATTGCATCCTGCGCCCCTTTCGGATGGGCCGGAGTCTTGATCCCATGACCAAGTGTCATGCCGGCGTAGCCCTGTCTGGAACGGTTTGCTCAAATTCACCCACAGAATCACTACAGGCGATTAGAGCTTTTTTTTCGGAACGTCTTAGCCGGCCTGCCTTGGCATAGAGGCCACCGACCAGCACTCTGGATCGCCAAGCCAGGACGGCCTGCTCACCATCGCTTTGCGGTTCATACTCTCCACCGTCATCACCTTCCATCGCTTTTTGTGCTTCCCTATCTGTCTTATCACAAGCCATGCGATCGAGGTCGGAGATGCGACCATCGCGACGCCCTCTGTTATGCATCACGTCGAGCATCGGTGTATGTTTATCATCGCACTCGGCTGCAGTCAATATTTCGGATTCCAGCCGCCTTGGAAGACAGTGAATCCCTGCAGACTCGATTTCTTGGAAACGATTTTCGATGCGGAGAACCGCAGAGCAACATCGGAAATTCTCCGTCAAAGTTGATTTTCTTGCAAAACAATTTCTGTAATCTAGGCGATTCCGTCATTAGGCATACATTCGGTCTTGTAGCGAAATGACAACGCAACCAAGCGAATTTCGAAACATCGCAACCCGGCGTTCCCTCTCTCGCTTCAAAGAAATCGCCCGAACGCCACTTCCTTTCATTTTGATCCGATCCTGAACATCAGATAACCGTCAGTGTCCATTGTACCGTCGCACAGTTCATATGACTCAAAGCACTTCTTGTCCTCATAGACTGCCAATCTCACTCTGAATCGACTGGTGTCAAGTATCGAGAGCAGTAGAAAAAGGATATGGAAACGATTTGAGATTGCATTCACAATCCCAACGAATCGGGGCCAGAGCCTTGAAAGCGTTGAGCGGGATGAATCTCAGTGAATAAACTAACTACAGATCACATGTGCGTGTATGCTGGAAGGAGGATTTAGTTGAAGGCAGCTAGTGAAGCCTTGCCGTCCACCTTGTCCATTGGCAGTCCCTCGACAAACGCGGCAGTGCACTTGGCCATGGTTGGTGATGCGCGCGAAATGGCGTCAGTCTGGTAGAAGTTCTGGATGGGCCTCAACAAAGGTGCACCCGACACCTTCGACTTGGCCAGCTTGGCGAGCTCTTCCACCGCCAATGGCGCCGATGTCGTCGATGGCTCTGCTACCTCGTATCGAACCAGCGTAGGTGAAATCTCAAACATGCGGTCTCGTACATCCAGGATGTCGTTGTACGGCACCGTCGCGCCCATCACCTCGGAAAGCGCACGGACAATCTTCCAGTCCTCGCGCGCTGCACCTGGTGGCGGCACCGCCGCTCGTGTCACTTGTGTACGTCCCTCGGTGTTGACATATGTCGTGGCCTTCTCCGTGTACGCCGATCCAGGCAAGCAGACGTCGGCAAATTGCGCACCCACATCACCGTGGTGGCCCTGGTAGACTACGAATGCATCGCGCGGGATCGTCTCGGGTGCAATGTCGTCGGCGTTGAGCAGGTAGATGAACTTGGGCGTCGTCTTCGCCGCAGCGGGCGAGGGGGTGAATCCGATGTCGAGCGCACCGGTGCGCGACGCCTGACGCTGGAGCACGTTGTAGCCGTTCCATTCGCCGTTGAGCAGCTTGCCCTTGTTAGCCTTGACCAGCTCGGCCAGGTTGCCGAGGATCGCCTGGCCATCAGGGTGCTCGGCGACGGCGCTTCCGACCACGATCATGGGCCTCTTGGCTTGCTTGAACTTCTTGGCGAAGGCGCCCTTGCCGGCGAGCAGATCCTGCACCGCCTTGGCATCGGTACCGACGTGGTCGTAGTCGTAGGTGAGATCAACCTTCTCGCCGATCAGGCCGACATCGAGCTCGCGATGGAGGTATGCCTTGCGGATGCGCGTGTTGACGATGGCTGCCTCGTGACGGGGGTTGGTGCCCACGAGCAACAGCACATCAGCCTCCTCGATACCGGGGATGGTGGTGTTGAAGGTGTAGTTGGATCGGAAGTCGGAACCGTAGATGGGAGCCTGGTCACCGTTGACCTGGTCGGTGGCGAGGTTGTCCGAGCCGAGCTTGTTAATCAGATCCTTGAGGACGACCATCGACTCGACGTCGGCGAGCGAGCCGGCGACAGCCTTGATCTCGTCACCCTTGGCGCCCGACGAGGCGAGACCCTCAGCGATGGTGGCGAGCGCCTCGGGCCACGAGGCGGGCACGAAGCGGTCACCCTGCTTGATGAGAGGCGTGGTGAGACGCTGGTATTTGAGACCATCGTTGGCAAATCGGGTCTTGTCGTTGATCCACTCCTCGTTGACATCGTCGTTGGTGCGGGGAAGGATGCGCATCACCTGGACACCGCGCGAGTCGACGCGGATGTTGGATCCAACGGCGTCCAGAACATCGACCGACTCGGTCTTCTTGAGCTCCCAGGGACGGGCGTGGAAGGCGTAGGGCTTTGAAGTGAGCGCACCGACGGGGCACAGGTCGATAATGTTGCCCGAAATTTCGGAGTTCATCGTCTTCTCGATGTACATGCCGATCTGGAGGTCGTTGCCACGGCCCGTGGTTCCCATCTCCTGGACACCGGCAACGTCGTTGGCGTAACGGACGCATCGGGTGCACTGAATGCAACGAGTCATGACGGTCTTGACAAGAGGGCCGAGGTTCTTGTCTTCGACGGCACGCTTGCCCTTAATCTCGTGGAAACGCGATCGGTCGGAACCGTATCGCATCGACTGGTCCTGAAGATCGCACTCTCCACCCCAATCGCAAATGGGACAGTCCAACGGGTGGTTGGCGAGCAGGAACTCCATCACACCCTCACGAGCCTTGGCAACGAGGGGAGTGTCGGTGAAGATCTGCTGACCGGGCATGGCTGGGAATGCACAGGAGGCAAGAGGCTTGGGGGCACCCTTGGACTCGACGAGGCACATTCGACAGTTACCGGCAACCATGAGGCGCTCGTGGTAGCAGAAGCGCGGGATCTGAGCGCCGGCCTTCTCGCAAGCCTGGATAAGGGCGGTACCCTGCTCAACTTCGATCTCTTTGCCGTTGATGGTGAGCTTAACCATCTTGGGTGGAGCAGGTGCAGGGGTGGCCTGGCGACGCGAAGCAGAGGTGGCGAACGAAGCAGAAGTGGACGGCAGACGAGTAGCAGCGCTGCCGCGAGGGGCAAGGCGCACTGCCGAGCTGGAAGCAGCCAACGAGCGCAGCATGACGGCGGTGGCAATGTAGAGATGGTGATGCGAAGGAGGTTGCAAGCTGACGTGCCGCTGGCCGGAAAGTGAGTTTACAGCTCCTAGATCAGACAGCGAGGCGCCTGATGTGACTGTCAGGCGTGCGACGGTTGATCAAGAGACGCGGCGAGGAAGGAGGCGGAGGACGATCAAGAAGCAGCTGCTGCCGATGGGGAAGGTGATGATGGTAATCTCGACAAGTTGTCAAGCGCGCCAAAAGAAGAGCCGATTGGCGATGGTCCGCGTTACTTGATTTCAAAGCGCTGAGCAGCCGTGTCCGAAGGGTGCGATCGACGGACGACCATCTTCTCAGCTCGCTCGCCCAGCCTGTCTCTCTTCTAGGCGCACCAGCCAGAAATTGGAAATCTCGCGAGTTTCAGCTGGAATTTCAGCAAAAGGCTGCCTTCCGTGGCCTGCTCTGTCGCCGCCCAATCAAAATGCCGCCGTTTCCCAGACCTATTCGGTTCCGCTCACGATTTTTTGGCACCGTAATTTAGAGAAAACGATAGGCCTAACAATCCTAAAAACAACGTAAATGTTAAGGCTCAACGATCCTCCTTACTTGAGAACGATTGATGCTCTCTCTCTCTCTCTCTCTCTCTCTCTCTCTCTCTCTCT